TATATATATATATATATATATATATATATATATATATATATAATGAATATTTCCTTACATATATAAACTATTAAGAACAAAATAGGAACAAAAAATATTTGTCTAACTGTGGACTAGACAATTCGATAAATACTTCTAAATCAAGAACTGTTGTTGAGAACAAAATATTTTAAACAAAACTAGTACTTATATAATATGCATGTATTAATTTAGAATTGCTAAACGCAACTTTTGCACAACTAACTCAAAGGCGTTCAGAGAATATTGGGAAAAAAAAATTTCTAACTCTGAACCAGACGATTTAATCTATACATTCTATCCGAGCCCTAAAAAAGAAATTGGCTTATTGGACTGAGAAAACGCCTTCTATTGAAAAACAAAATATTTTAAACAAAGTAAAACATAGTAAAGTAAAAAATATAATATGTATTATAAGATCTTGAAATCTTTATCTTTCATAAATAATATTATGTAGAAACTTAGATCATGTTGATCTTTGAGCATCTTCATTATTGTTGTATAAATCATGCATATTTTGCAAAGGCCATTTCTAACACGATGCCTCAGTTTTTCCCTTCGAACTCGATCTCGATGCCTTTGCTTGGCAACTCTTAATGCAGCCTGCATAAGTTGACTAAAGGTTTCTATTGAAACTTTTTCAGTCTGATTAACTACCTCTGAAACATAACATATACTTGTATAATATTTATTAAAACATTAAAAAAATTTTTTAAATTTTTAGGGATAAGGGATATAAAATATTGCTAAATAAATTTAACTGAAAAATTTTAATTTTGTGATAAATAATTGTATAATAGTTAAGAAATTTGTTTCGCGTGGAAAATGTATGCGCGGAGGCAGCAAGTTAAAAATGTTTAAAAAGTTGCTAAACTTTGGAGTCGCAAAAAATCCTTTTAGTATGTCTTTTTTATCTAAAAAGAACCTATTCACAAAGTTTCACCTAAATCAAAGCATGGACGTTTTTGGAAAAACAGCCAGGAATTTTAAGAATATTGTATTTTGTATTACCAAAAATAGCAAACCCATTTAAATATTCCGAAAAGTAAAATGCAAAATTAAAAGTATGATAATATTTTTATATAATCAAAATATTAGTAAATTATTTTGATATTTTACTTACTAGCTCTTTCTGCTTTTGTTTATCTTTCTCGAAATTTTCAAACTGTTGCATATTTTTGTAATGAAAAACCTTCCGGAAGTGAATATACTGGGCGAGCCTCATCGTTATTTGCGTTTCTAAAAATAATTTGGCTCGGTATTATACTCAGAAAATTAATATTTAAGGGGATGTAAAAAGATCTTGATAGGCTCCATTTTATATAAAACCAAAAACCAAATCTAAATTATCTTCTTTTTATCGTACAACTTCTTTTAAGATATTTTGATAAAATTTATACATTTTAGAATTGAAAATCACGTTAACGCATACTTATGCTTGCACATTATCCAATTTTGTATTAAAGTAGGTTTTCAGTTCATCCATTTTTTTCTCATAATAGTTTTGCATATCGTCCATTTTTTTCGAAACATATTGTTCCTGAGTCTTGGGAAACAATTGCATTTTTTCCTCAAATATTTGGAAGAAACTTTCTTGCGATGCCTTCAAGTTATTTAAGATGGCATTTTCAGAATCGTTGTAATTTATATGGCCATCATTGTTATTACGATAGTTGTACAACTGCGGGTGTATGTGTGTATTAACCAGTGCAGTTCCTGTAAAAATTCGGTTGCTATTATATTTTATTTTATTTTATTAATTTTATTAATTTTAATCCATTGTATGTAAAAATATTTTACCTGAGCCATATAATTCTTTTGTATATGTGGGTGGGACACTGGTTGCATTTGCGTATATGCCATTAGTACTTGAACTGTCATAAAATTTATTATTTGAAGTAACAGCCGGAGAAATATATTTGTTACAAGTTGGAGTTCTTGACGAATTGTTTTGAACAGTACCTGGGTAAACAAACGTACAACGTAATACATTTTTTTACATAATTAAAAAAATTAAAATAGTAAGTAATAGTAATAGTAATAGTAAGTAATAGTATTTTTCTATTCGTTTTTTCCCCTTTTTATTGCGTACAAGGACTACCTTAAAATAAAATATTTGTTTTGGATTGTTAGTTACTTGTGTCAACAACTGATCCTGAGTTGAAATCGTATACAGAATGATTATTTGATGTACGCATCACATCATCTCCTTGATCATAATTTTGTAATGTTTGTGCTGAACAACCGGGTAAGTTTAAATTATTGTTTCTATGGCGTCTAAGTTGCTGTTCCGATATTGGTTGTAGTGTTCCTTGATCATAATTATTTTGTAATGTTTGTGCTGAACCGGGTAAGTTTAAATTATTGTTTCCATGGCGTCTAAGTTGCTGTTCCGATGTTGGTTGTAGTGTTCCTTGATCATAATTATTTTGTAATATTTGTTCTGAACAACCGGGTAAGTTCAAATTATTGTTTTCATGGTGTCTAAGTTGCTGTTCCGATGTTGATTGTAGTGTTTTTTCTTGGTTTCCTTCTTTTTTCCGGTCAGATTTTGCGATTGGTTTATCTTGATTTGTTTCTTTTTTTCCGGGCTGATTGTGCATTTTTTTGGGATCCTTATTTCATTTCAACATTGTCCTCACTGTGTGTCAGTCGACACACAGTCGATAATTATATTCATTATCGGATGATTGACTTGGCGCATCAGTTGATTCTTCAGAATTAGAATTGCTGAACATTGCTGTCATTTCTTGTAATACATTACTGTTAGCCTTTTTCTTATTCCTCGTTGGCTTATCAGAATCTGTAGTACAATACTTTGGAGGCTTTTTTATTGTACGTCCTCGTCGATTACATTTTGAACCTTTATTGTCCGACATTTTTTATAACACTGTGGATCAGTACATATATGTATATATTTATGGTTCTTTTTTTATCTTGTAGTGGAAAAACATTGAATAGTTATGAGGTACAAAAAATAAATTATATTGGAGGATTTATACATTGACAGATTATAAATTTAAAATTTGTTATGCGAATATGATCAAACATTTACGTTATATATAAATTGGCTTTACAATATGAAACTAATTAATATAATGTAAGAGAGTAAAAACAATATATTCACCATTATTTTTTTCTGATTTTTTTGTTGAAGAGAATGATCCTGTCCAACTTGGCATACTATAGCACTTCGCAGTTACATAATTTGTGCTGATTAATTGTAAGTCTTTTGATAACTCTTTGCATTTATAAACTCCGACAGTTGAAGACTGAATTGGCAATTCATAAAAATTTGTAACATTTTGAAAAGTTTGTACTACAAAGAAAACATTTTTATTTTGAGTCAAAATATTTCTAATTCTGCAAATAGAGTTATCCCGAATCTTGCAAAAGCTATTGCAATCATCTAATGCAAAATTAAATTAATTTGACTGATAATTTTTGTATTGTATGACATTTGTATTTTCCATACATTCAGGAATGGGACTATTTGAGTGTTTTGCTGAAAGGCGATGATTCTCAAGATTACGTTCAGGTACATGTTGTATATAATTTTTTTCTCGTAATCAATTTGCGAATTGCTCAAGTGGACGTGGATGATTTCCTATTAAAAAAAAAAAAAAAAAAAAAAAGGAAAAATAAAAAAAAAAAAAAAAAAACGGCATATTATTTTCATAAACGAATGCTGAACAATTTTCTAGATGTCCTAATTCCTTTATGTCATCAACTAAATGTTGTAATCCATGAACATTGTAACTTACAAAGGTCGCGGTATAGAGATGTTCCGCATATTTAACAAATCTGTGTAGGCATTTTTCAACCGTTTTTAATTGCCTTTTCGATTTCGAACATTTAATTGATGTGACTATTCTCATGGCTACATTAAGTAATAACAAATGGAAGTAAAATTCGTCAGATATAATTCGGAACGAAATAATTTTTGCTGCATATAAAAGGAAATGTCTTAACTCAGTTGCTTTAAATTTAGAGAATTTTGCGAGAGATTTAGGGCGACGAGCAAATTCGTTTGGACAAAACTTGTTTAACTCTTCATATCGTTAAGACATTTCATTAAGCGCTGAGCTAGGTAGTTTCGCTGCATATCCAAATTTGTCATCATACCACGCACTTAATAGCCTCGAAGCAACACCAGCGTATACCAGATGCATAATTTCAAAAGGCACCCTTGTGACAATCGGTATTCCAAGATCCTGTAATGGACTTTTTCCTTTTTGATGGTCCTCATTCAAACAAGATATATATTGTTCATTTGTTCGCTTTTCGTGATTGATCCCCAAGTAAACCATTCGATTCTCATGTCGGAAACCATTAACTTTGCATTTAAAGCACGGATTACTGGAATTGTGTCCATAATGATTTAAAACTAAAGCTCTCGCCGGAGCGTCTGCAACAAAATTTTTAAACACTATTGGAATACGACGATTACGTATTAGTATTCCTTCTAGTCTATTAGCTGATTTCACCTCATCAACAAGATTTTCAAAAAAATTATGAACATTGCAAGGTTTCTCAAGTCCTTTATACACACCTATAATCACCGGCTTGAAATAAGGAATATTAATGACCCTATATTGTAAAGGCCAATATTGCATAGGATTGTTTCTACTCAATGATAAACCGTCAGTGCTCAGTTCTATTTCTAGAACAGGCGGAATTTCATCTGCATCGTAAAACGAAAGGTGCTTTTCTAACGGTTTTACAAAACCAATATGCCAATATACACCTGAGCCAATTGGTACAAAGTTAATGCGATCACGACTTGTTTGTAAAAAACTTCTGCTATCTTTTGGCAAATTTTGAAAACATTTATGCATACGAAGTACTCTTAAAATTGCTGTAGTCTGAACATGATTTATATTCATGTCCAGGCAGCATTGTCGTACACAGTTTTGAAAACAATCTATTTCGACATTTTGGGGTTGCAAACAAGGTTGCGAATCTTCGTGTACTATTTCTTCTACTACATCATCATGAGCACTTGGCGTTTGTGATGGAAAGTCCAAAGACGTTTCTTCAGTTTCACTACTTCTCAAATTCTGTTCACATGAATAAGTTAAGGAATTATTACTTCTATTTTGATCTTTTAAGTGTGTTTTACCCGCAGAAAGATGGAATGCTCTACGAAGGCGTAAACGATTATATTGTTGACGACTTGATAAATTCTTAAAAGCTTTGCGAGTCGTCCAATTCATGTTTCCTTTGATTTCAATTGAGACTTACTTGCCCATTCAATTTCACTCAAGTGCGGTACTGAAATAAAAAAGAAATTAAGACTAAGTGAAAAACATAATAAAGCAAAGTCCAATCACTGACATAATAAAAATTCGAATAGGATAAGCTACTATTTTATTTAACAATGTATAAATAAGTTAATGTTTATCAATGAACGAAAAATCTTAACGTTATAGTTCTTCAAAATAACAAAAAAAAACATCTGATTACTAATGACTTAAGGGGGTGCCAAAGTGCACATTTTAAGCTGAATTTCAAATTGAATATCTACAGTTCATAAAATAGTGGTAAAACAAAACACATATATTAATCATTTTTAATTATTTATAAATTTTCAAGAATTTGAAATTAAAAATTAGAAAATATCAATATTTCTTTTTAACTGAGGTACTGCGCAGGTAAGTGTTATTTGTGTAATCATTCATTATCTTCCTTAAATAAATATCCTCAAAACAAAATCGCATTCCTAATATATTATGTGTGAGCGTATACGTCAAAATAAGCAAACCAACCAAGTTATTTTTGTTGGTTTTATTAATAATTTTTTCCATGCATATTTAAAAAATTTTTATTACTACTGTTACGTCCAACCCCGGGATTAGGATATGAAAATCTTGGAGCAAGGGAAAGGCTAACCAGAGGGGTCGGGGGAAGGGAGGACGCAGTTAGATACTTACAAATGTCGCTCGCAGGTACGCGCTCTGAGACGCGTGGCGCGAGCCGAACGCACTTTTATGACTCAGAAAGGGTCAACGTCCGTAAAGACGCTAAGACCCCTTTCGTGAGCGGTGCGATCATCGGTCCTTTTTCGAGTCAGAGAATTTAATCCCTTTAACTCAGGATCGGACCTCGTGCAATTTCGAGAGAGGGAGGTAATTTGTGGGCGAGGTCTTATTTAAAATGCAAAAAAAAACATTTAATTTAACCTTACTAACAACTAAACATTTATTACAATAAAAATGATATTTGTTGATAACATTGAGCTGGACATTAATTACATAAAAAACATCGAAATTGTGAGGCAATTGAGATGAATGAACGGAGGCGAAATGAATGTCATTAGTGTGTGTGAGTGTGTAGTTATCGCGGGAGTTACATAGGTGCGGGGGTGGTCGGGCAAGATCTTTAAACCTACTTGGAAATGAACATTCTGCCCGCTATTATTACAATTGAAATCAGAATGTGATTACATGAATTTGGGTAGGTGTTATATGTGTGTAAATTAAGTCGAGCTTAAAATTAAAGTGTATGTAAATTAATGAAGTTAAGATTAGTCTAATGTTATGGTTTCGGGATCGCCTATGTCCTCGAGATCGAGAGTCGAGGCGGTTGAGGAGGTCGGGGACGGACTTCGGGAAGAGGAGGGGGAATCGGGAGGTTCTAGGAACCGGGCTGGATCGGGGTTGACGGGGACCACGCGAACCGGGACCACGCGAGGCGGGACCACGGGAAACGGAGCCACGCGGCAAATAGGGCGAGAATGTTCAGCAATTGGGCGAGAGGGTAGGACAACTGGGCGATAAGACAAAATGATAGCGGGGCGATTCTGATGTGAAGAACAAGGTTCCTCCGAAAAAGCTGGTAGGGGCGGTGGAATGGTGAGTCGCGGAGGACCGGCGTTGAGCTGCTCCCGGGGGAGTTCGACCTCCCGTCGCGCCCGCTTGTTCTGTCGATTTCTCTGTCGCCTGATCGTGCGGAGATTCTGTCCTCGAGGGGGTAGGATTTTCGGGTCCACTAAAATTATTTATTTATTTAGTCAATCTCTCTCGGACCCGGTCGGAAGCGAACAAAAGAAAATTGTCACGAGCTCGAGGGGGGGGGAGGTCAGTGGACAGGCCGAGTCCGCGACAGCGACGAAGACGTCGGGAGCCAAGTCAGGCCCACGACAACGCCAACGACCGCTGGGAACTTGATGCTTACACCGACCGGGATTTACAAAATTTCCATGTTTCTTATGTTTATGGGATAGCAGAGCTAGAGAGAGGCATTATACACAGAAAGAATGGCCAGAGAGAACAGATTTCTATCCAGGGGAGAAGAACATTCTACGCGAACCTTTAGTTGATCCATCAAATATTCTGCTTCCACCTCTCCACATAAAACTTGGTCTCATGAAACAGTTCGTCAAAGCTTTGGACAAAGAAAGCGCCTGTTTTGAATATTTGCAAGAGAAGTTTCCTCAAATAAGCGATGCTAAACTAAAAGAAGGTATTTTTGATGGACCTAAAATTCGTACCTTGTTTAACGATGAAAATTTTATTACAAAAATGACTGAGCATCAAAAACCAGCATGGCTCAGTTTCAAGAAAGTAGCTCAGAATTTCTTAGGGAATCAGAAAAGTGAGGATTACCAGAATATAGTTGAAGAAATGTTAGAAAATTACAATCGTTTGGGCTGCTTGATGAACTTAAAATTGCATTTTCTACACTCTCATCTTGATTACTTTCCCGAAAACCTGGGAGATTACAGCGAAGAATAAGGTGAAAGGTTTCATCAAGATATGAAGGAAATGGAGCGCCGGTATCAAAAAAGGTGGGATGTTAATATGATGGCAGATTTTTGTTGGATGCTTAAAAGAGAAACCCAGCTTAAAAGTCGAAAGAGACAAAGATATCCTCTACATAGATCGTTCGAAGAAAAAAGAGTTTGTTATAAAAGGAGAAAGGAGTAAAAGAACTCTTTTCCTCTTCAAAACTACAACTAAGTGATCTCTCGGTAGAAATCAAATAACGGTAGGTATATCTATTTAAAATCGGTCGAGATAGGATGCGAAGGCAGGCGTCCAACTCGGCTCCTAGGGGGCAGAGCTGCGGTCCTCCACAAAACCAGGTCTGGGTACGTCCAACTCGGCCGTAACGTCGGTTGCCACATTTGTACCTGACGCTGATCCACCTTACAGCGGGATTTTCTGTTTTAAAGGGTGATTTTTCGTGATTAAAAAGAAAGTAGGGGGTGGTACAGTAATGCTGGCCCGAGATTCGGATTCAGGACATCAAAGTACATATAATTTGGGTCTTACAGTTGGTTGCCACATTTGTACCTAACGCTGACCCATCTTATATTGAGATTTTCCGTTTTCAATGGTGGTTTTTCGCGATTTAAAAAAAATTGGTGTGGTGGGGGTCAATTTTGACCCCGGATTTGAATTCAGCACGTCAAAATACATAAGAAATGATGGGTCTAGTCTTTGGTACAGACCACTTTTTTTTTGTGTGCCTGTGTAATTAGCCATTTTCGTAATCGTACGGCTTTTTGCAACACAAAATAAATTATTTAAAAAAAATCACGCACATACACAAATCACGTACCTTGGGAATAAAATTGAAGTATCTTGCTGGAAGAGATGTCTTTCCGCGAATGATATCGGGATGCTGTAAAAAATTATATGTAATAAATTATTTAAAAAATCACATACATACAAATGTGTACTTCAAATGTGATCTATACTTATTTCCATGGGTAGATGAGACATCTCAAACGTTATGTGATTGAAACTATACTCCATGCGTAGAGATAGCATTCATCAGATGGAGTGAAATCGATGTCCATCTCCATTTGTAGAGGTACCTTCACAATCTTGATATCTCCAACCTTTATATACTAAAAAATTAAATTAAATTAAATTAAATTAAATTAAATTAAATTAAATTAACAAATTAAATTATTACACAAATGCATTTATTAATGCACAAATTATTGCACAGCACAAAATACTTTACACCGTCGCACGGATAAGTAATTTTGAATTGCATACAGTTGCAATGCTTTAATTTGCATAAACGGTATATAGGGTGAAACCATTCGTTCTTCTAAGGCAGTCAAGTTGGTCACCTCTTTTGGTACATTTGAATAACTTAAATCTGCATTTGATGCTATTTTTGGTATTTCTCCTGCTGTAATGTATTTTTTACAATTTTTCAGACATATTCCGACGAGTTATTTTGTATTTGTTTAATAAATGTATTAATCGCAACATTTTTTTTAGATAACTTTTTTTTGTAATTTAAAAACTAATTCGTTCAACTGACTTTTCAAAAAACAAATTTTCACAACATAAATAAACTTTATCTAGTCCTTGTTTTCTGTTTTGTAAAAATTTCATAATTAATAAATTTTGATAATATTCATTATCGTGAATACCACTAATCTTATTATGAATTGCTGAAGTTTTCACATAATCTTACAAAATCGTCAAGTCGAATTAGACACTTTCGATGTCTATCTGAAATTCTTTTTTTTTCGTTGTAGTCTTCTTCCTCAGGTAATGTGCGTCTAACTCGCATTCTCTCCCTATTTTTAATTTTTTTAGTTGTATTGAAACTTTTATCTGTTCTTTTCAAAATAATTCTTTTGACATTTTTCTCCGTCTCGTTATGTTTGTATAAACTTGCATCTTGGCCACACCTGTAAAAAAAGTCAGCTTCTTTTTTTTTGGTAGACTCTGGGTCGGAGGTAAAACCTCCGTCTTGATGTCCAAACGGTTCAATGTCACCACGGAAACTAAACCGGACTCCGGTACGTACTCGTGATTGCTTGCTTTCACGAGACGCAACCTGGTGGATGAGTTAGATTGTAGTTCATCCAATGCAAGCTGCCCGCGCCTTTGGACTTTTCTTTTTGTCCAATTCCATTGTTATTCCCACGAGTAAGGGGAATAACAGTTTCACCCGGGTAGAGCCCCGGTACACCGGGTGAGGAGATTTACAATTACAATACACTTGGAGGTGGCTCCAGGTTCCCAGAGGTTGGTCGCTTGCTGCCGGACTTACCCTCCGACCATGCATCCCAGAGGATAGCAGTGTGGTCTTATGGTAAAGCGCCAGACTCGTAACCCCAAGGAACCGGGTTCGAATCTACATGATCACAGGAATTTTTATATTTCAAACTGCACCCTCCACACGAGTGG